CCAGTGTATTTTGTACGGAGAACCGCGGCTCCGGGGCGCCGACAAAGCAGCGGCGTGGGGCACAGCCGCGCTGGCCGAAACAGCCGCGCTGGTGGCTGGTGACCGTGGATCACCTCTGCCCGGGAATTTCCTAGTCTGTGGGCAATAAAAACACGGCGTCCACTCACCCTCTGCGCTTTCACTGGGAGCTGCAATCCTGAGCTGTTCCTAAACGGCCATCTTGGATCCCGGCCGTGTTTTTCAACATTGATTGAAATGATTCTATAGTTTTTGTTTTTAACTTTGTTTATGTGATGAATCACCTTAATTGATTTACATATGTTGAACCATCCTAGCATTTCTGCAATAAAACTCATTTCATCGTGGTGAATTAATTTTTTTAATGTGCTTTTGGATTTCATTTGCTAGTATTTTGTTGAGAATTTTTACATTAGTGTTCAACAGGGATATCAGTCTGTAGTTTTCTTTTGTTGATGTGTCTTTCTGGTTTTGTATCAGGGTAATACTGGCCTAATAGAATAAATTTGGATGTATTCTATGTTCCTCTATTTTCTGGAATAGTTTAAGTAGAGTTGGTATTAATTATTCTATAGATATTTGATAAAATTCAGCAGAGAAGCCATCATGTCTTGGGCTTTCTTTGCTGTGAGACTTTTTATTAGGGCTTTGATCTCATTACTTGTTATTGGTTTGTTCAGGTTTTGAATTTCTTCACGGCTCAAATTTGGCAGGTTGCATGTATCTAAGAATTTCTTTTTTCTGGATTTTCCAGTTTATTGGCATATGGTTGGAAGTGATCCTTTTAATTTCTGCAGTATTTGTTTCATGTCTCAATTTTATTTATTTGGGTCTTTCTCTTTTTTTCTTAGGTAAAGTTTTGTTGATTTTTTTTTTTCAAAAAACAAGCTTTTCACTTTGTTGATATTCTATATTGTATGCTTTCCTTCCATTTTATTTATTATGACTCTGATCTTTATTATTTATTTTCTTCTAATAATTTGGATTTGTTTGCGTTTGCTTTTTAGTTTTTTAAGATACATCACTAGGTTATTTTAAATTTTTCTACTTTTTTAGTGTAGGCACTTGTAGCTATAAACTTTCACTTGCCAGGTTTTGGTATCAAAGAGATGCTGGTTTCATAGAATGAGTTAGGGAGGATTTCATTCTCTTCATTTTTGGGAATGGTTTCAGTAGAATTGGCACTAGCTCTTCTTCATATGTCTGGTAGAATTTGGCTGTGAAACTGGTCTAGGTTTTTTGATTGGTAGATATTTATTGCTGGTCTAGGTTTTTTGATTGGTAGATATTTATTGTTATTTCTATTTTGGAACTTAATATTGGTCTTTTAGGGTTTTAATTTCTCCAGGATTCAGTCTTGGGAGGTTGTTTTTTTCTAGAAATTTAGTGAAGCTTCCTACAACAATCATTATTCTACACATATTCTTATCTTGCATGGCAAGCTATTTCTCCTAACATTCAAATTGGACAACTAGGTATATTGCTCCCAAATCATTGGTTTATGAGGATTTCCTCCACTGTTAGTCTATGGCTCTCCTTGAGAGGCGTTACGCTGCAGCATTAGTCAATTTTTTTCTTGCCAAGTATATATTCAGACAATCCATTTGTGAGTCAAGCCTGAGGCTCTTTCCTCCTTTATCAGCTGGTTGTACGAAATCTATTTCTCACCATGAAGCCATAGGTGAGATATTATAACAAAGGAAGAGATATTGTCACAATAAAGGCATATCTGTATCTCATAGAAATGCTTTTTACTGTATCAAATAGTTTTCAATTCTTTCTATCAAGTGCCAGCAAGCTTAGTATGAGATGGTATTTAATATTGGTAAAATAAAATTGAATAATGATTAACTTGAAGACAATTACAAATATGGGCACTGTGCATGTTTATAATAATTGACATTATATTTTATTAAAAATTTCTAACCCTGGATTTGATTGAGGAGTGCGGTTACTGGACAGGCTGGGTTTATGGTCTCTCCATGGGCTGCTCCGTCGGCTGGTGCTTTTTTATCAGGGCAAGCTGTGTTCCATAGCAGGGAACTTTTGGCAGAGCTCCCACTATTTGCAATGGATTTTGGATAAATAGGATCTGTTGAAGGAGCACCAAAAGGATTTAAAGTTTCTCTCTGAAGAAGAATATTGGAAGTTACAAATATTTTTTACAAATGTTATCCAAGCATTAGGTGAACATCTTAAATTAAAACAACAAGTTATTGCCACTGCTACAGTATATTTCAAGAGATCCTATGCCAGGTATTCTCTGAAAAGTATAGATCTTGTATTAATGGCTCCTACATGTCTGTTTTTGGCATCAAAGTTGAGGAATTTGGAGTAGTTTCAAATGCAAGATTGACTGCTCCTGCTACTTCTATATTAAAAACTAGATTTTCATATGCCTTTCCAAAGGAATTTCCCTAGGATGAATCATATATTAGAATGTGAATTCTACCTGTTACAACTAATGGATTGTTGCTTGATAGTGTATCATCCTTATAGTCCTTTGCTCCAGCATGTGCAGGACGTGGGCCAAGAAGACATGTTGCTTCCCCTTGCATGGAGGATAGTGAATGATACCTACAGAATGGATCTTTGCCTACTGTATCCTCTTTTCATGATAGCTTTAGCTTGCCTACGTGTAGCCTGTGTTGTACAGCAGAAAGATGCCAGGCAATGGTTTGCTGAGCTTCCTGTGGATATTGAAAAGATTTTGGAAATAATCAGGGTTATTTTAAAACTATATGAACAGTGGAAGAATTTCGATGAAAGAAAAGAGATGGCAACTATTCTTAGTAAGTTGCCAAAACCAAAACCACCTCCAAACAGTGAAGGAGAGCAAAGGTCCAAATGGAAGTCAGAACTCTAGCTACAGCCAATCTTAAAACATTCTGAAGAATTCCGTAGTGGACCACTTGGAAATATACCACTGGACAGATTTCAGTAATGTCTTCAGTGGAACACAAATGAAAATAAATAGCTTGTTTCTGTCAAGCATATTGGAAAGTGATTTTATTTTTGCAAAATAAGTTTTTCTTTATCTGATATGATTCTAGAACATAATTCATTAAAATCTCTTGATTATAAATGCTTGGAAAGGTTCTAAGGGGACCTACAGACAGCCATACATAGATGTTTCAAAATTAATAGCTTTTGATTAGTATAATATTTCTTAATTTGGATTATAGAAATTGTGGCTTTTTATTAAGCCAGGAAACATGAAGCATAATTTGTTTAAAATTCTCTTTAGCCATTGAGGGACTAAAAAAGGACGTAAAATTTACAGTCAGTATATGAGGGGCTTTTTCCCCTCCAGAAATTTAACTTTAAAACTGTATTTAAGGAATCAAATCTTATAAAATACTGGAAGATTTTGGTAACAATGTTGATAATTTCAGGGAAATTAATCAAGTACCTATATTGATTTAAAAGTGTATTCTATTCAATAGTTTGAGGATCTTGCCATGGAAGATACTGGCCCAGCCTAGCAGAAAAGTGCAATATGTATAGCATACTTTGACATTTTAAAACCTGTGTTCCATAACCATTTTGAAATGCTGGGCAAACTACATGAAGTTATTTATAATTAATTCACAGCTAATCAGGTATTTTGAAAGCTTAATTGGATTAAAAAACCATAATGTTGGAATTTGATAAAATTTTAATGTTGATGTTTACTGTGAAAGTTTTTTATAAGATATACGCACCCTAGTTTAATTTTGTGTCTTGGTGTGGATTTACAAATTTGCTACAGGTATTCTGAGCCAGGAACACAATCAGGTTTCAGGCCAGTCTGATACTGGCTGCCCTTAATTCTACTATGAGAGTAGGACTTCATACTAAATGTTATGTCAGTAGGATATACATACTGTCAGTGGGATGTACTGTCTGTGGAACTTAGCAAATTAATCATTTTCTTCAGACTTGAAGGAGAGTGATAAAAAAAATTTGGAGTCATGGGATATTGATGTACAATTGAAGGATTAAACATTTGTAAGCAATTGTGGACAATGGCTTATTAAATTAAATGTTGACTTCCTAGTATAAAACTGCAAGAATAAAAGTAAGTTTTCTAGCTTAAAAAAAAAAGAATTTCTATTCCTTTTTTTCCTCATGTAATTAAGGAAGATAAAACTGGCATGGACAGGTGAAACTCAGCATTAAATTTGTCAGCACTTTATAGAGAGCTCACCATTGAAGTTAGTTTGAATGAAGTTCTAAATTGTTCATATTTTCTTCTTATATAAAAGAGTTTTCTAGGCAAGTATTTAGCTATGTAATTTACATTTCACATGTGAAGTATAAGAAAACAGCCACTCTTTTCCCCAGAACTCACATAAATGCTGCCTTTCAAATCCAGAAAATATTCTCAGCTCAGATTCTTTATGACACAAAAACTAACTGCACTATGAGGGCTTACAAATTAAAATTCTGTAAATTACATTACACATTGCGATTCCTTTTCATTATGTTTTTGAAATTTGTATTTGAAAAAAAAAATGGCCATAGAACTAAAACAAAAATCAAAATCAAAGCAATATGTTAGTCAAATATTTATAAAATGGATTTTAAGAATTTTATTTTAGTACTGCCCAGCAGTACTCAAATAAGTCACACAGTATTAATGCTAAACTAATTATGATATCAAGACCTGTGTTTAAACTGGGTTTACAACAAAGCAAGCTGCATCCTGAGTAGTGCTCACCTTTTTGTTTAGGTCTTATCTTATTACTATATTCTTATATTATTACTTATTACTATATTATTACTTAGTACTATATTCCAGGTAACTAATCCACTTTAAATTCCTAATTCTAGTTTTGTGTACTCTCTGAAAAAACACTAAATATCAAACTAAGGTTATTAGTTTCTTTCCATAATGTGAGGGCCACTTGCTACATTTTGACAAGCTGGACTTCTTAAACCTTGGCTTTTTCTCAGCTAGTATCTCCTACTGCACAATTACTGGATTACAGTGTTAATTGTGAGAGCAGTCTATATTATCTGTTACATGTGTTATCAATTACTTTAGCTCAGTAAAACAAAAAGGATATCTGTATTCTTTTTAAAAAGTTGAATTTCATATAGAGGTTCTGACTAGCTTAGACATAGAATTTTACATACTTTTTATTCATTTCAACACAAAATCTAATTCATTGTTGAAACATTCTTCTTAAATAAGACCACAGTATTACAAATTGTGATGAGTGGTGTTTAAGATGTTAATGAGTCATTATTATAGGAGTTCTTAAATAAAACAATGAATTTGTAGACAAATTTTCATGTTTAATTCAAGTTATATTTGATAAATGGAAATTATCTCATTTATATTTTATTAACACATTTTCCAGTCCTGAAGATTTTCTTCAGAGAATCTTTCATCTCTTTGTTCCTGAGACTATATATTAGAGGATTGCAGAGAGGTGTTATCACAGAATAAAACAAGGTAATGATTTGTTGCATTTTTACTGGGTGTCCTGATCCAGGTCTAACATACATCATCATGATAGAGCCATAAAACAAGGTGACAACTGCCAAATGAGAAGTACAAGTGGAGAAAGCCTTTCGTTTGCCAGCCTCTGAGGGCACCCACATTACAGCCAGAATCACCAGAGCATAGGAACAAAGGATAAAGAGAAAGGTGCCAATCATGAATATAGAATTGAATGTGGAGTAAATGAGCTGGGTAATAATGTCTTCAGAACAGGACAGCATCATCAGTGGGACAGGATCACAGACAAAATGGTTGATAATATTTGGGCCACAGTAGGAGAGCTGTGAAATGAGAATAACTGGAGTTAGGAAGATTACAAACCCACAGGACCATGCAAAGATGATGAGGCCAGTGCATACTTGTTTAGTCATGATGCGTGAATAATGTAGAGGGCGGCAGATGGCAAGATACCTGTCAAAGGCCATGATGCAAAGAAAGAAGCCCTCATCGCACCCAAAAGAGAAGAAGAAGTAGAACTGTGCAAAACAACTCATGAATGAGATGGACTTGCTTGTAACATAACATATTTCCAGGAGAGAGAAATTTCCCAAGAGGACATACCTGGGAGTGTGAAGGTGCTGGTCACACCACACAGAACAGACAATGGCTGCATTTCCCATCAGGGTGAGAGTATAGGCTACTGAGAAGAGACTGAAGTAGAGGAGCTGCATTTCTGGACTTGAGGGAAAACCCATGAGGATAAAGTAGCTAACAAAGTTGATAGTTTCTATGCTGGATACATTCATTAGTCTGGAAGACATGGAGATGACAGAGGTCATTGAAACATGAAATGGAGCACGCTGGTTCTTCTTGGAAACACCAAAATTCTTTACCCTGTATATTATAAAGTAGTAAACAATTAGACTTTTGTTTAAACAACAAAACTGTGACTTTCATGACTCAACTCCTAAACAGATTTCTTTTAATAAATCACAACAATAGACAGCAGGGAAAATATGAATTGTGGAGAATTTCTTTTTCTTGCTAGGAATACTAGACTTGAAACTGGAAATGCAAACTTTTGTGATTCCAATAAATTACCTGTATACAATTAGCCTACTCTTTCTTCTGTTTACCTGCATTATTGATACTATACTTATCTGGGTGTGAAATTCTTTCAACAATACTATGAATACCTGATTCATTGTGATTTGTTAGTGATATAAAAACAAAATACAAACTCAAGATGTTTAAAAATACTCTTTCTCAATGTAGTGTCATGCCAGGGCACAAATTCATATTTACTTTCAATTTCAGCTACTCCAGGTTACTTGTGGTGTTTTAAAGTGGCAATAAAAAGACCTCTGTCATTAGAGGATATATGGTCTTTTATGCTGTTTGCATGTATCTGTACGAATGTTTAGCATAAAAATACATTCTTTTATTTTTAGGCAGTTGGATATCCTATATGCTATGAGGAAGTGTGCCATACTTTGGTCCTTAAATTGCTCTGACTAAATATTTTTATATGCTTCCAGGTGAATATATGAACTACCTATGCCCATTAGGGCATTGACCTTAGGGAGAACAGCTGGTCTGAATGACTGTGGCCAAGTTCAATGCGCTTGTTATTTATAAGAAAGGCAGATCGAGCTTATATTATGAAAGTTTCCATGTTTTTTTATTTACTGCTTTCTTCCACATGTTCCTTTTTCTTCCTTTGACTTTCATGATCATTTTGCATCTCACTGTGGTGGTTCCCTGAGGCCTTTCCTATCTAGGCAAATCTGAAATGTGAAGCTTTTTCCCTGATTACTCTCTGGTTAACTTCTAGCCCACATAACAACAACAAAAACAAGAAAAAGTCATACCAGATGAAGATTTTTGTTTCTCAAATAATAACTAATTTGTATGATACCAAGTCTTATTAATGTAACAGAACTGAAAAACCAGTATTTGGGCTTGAGAAAGAAAATAGCACTGGAAAGAGAAATATGCCATATTTCTTCTACTCACCAAGCAACAAAAATTACCAAAATATACCCATCTCTAGCAATTCATCAGTTAGTATACATCTTCACTTGAAATTCTATAATTTTTGTATATGTAGCTATTCATATTTTAAAGGGATATGAACCATAAATGGAAAATATCCTCCAGAATTTAGGGAAATAAGAAGAAAAACTTATATTTTTCAGCTTCATTCTTTACCAGCATTTCATTCTGAGATATACTTTTAGATGTCTCAATGACAAGAAGAAAACATTTTCTTTTATTTTTTGCAAAACAAACCTGGTGACTCACGTGTTATATACTTCCCACTCGCTCTTTGAATGAATACTGAGAAGGTCAGGGACAGGAGATAAAATATTTTTCCACAGAGCCAAAGACATGTGAAGAACTTCCAAGAAATTGCATGATCCTGTTTGTAATCTCTCATGGGTTGCAAAAAGTAAACCCTAAAAGATTTCTCCCACCTTGAAGGCATATGTTAATGGTCAAAATACAAGCATGAGTGAGTGTATTATATATGTCTGTTCGCTTGCATCATAGCCTTTTGGGACGTGGAGCTCTGTCTCCCCTGTAATTATTTGATAGCATTTGTTCAAAATAGGATCTCATTCTGAATTTTCACAATCAAAAGCCAGTTCTTACTATCCCCTAAAGAATAGTGAAAGTATAGTAGATTTTATCTTTTCTTTTTTCTTCTGTGTTCATGTATTGTCAAAGCTTCCTGAGGAATAATTAAGTAGTTAAGTAGTAAAGGGGATTGTCATTATAGCCACAGTGATAAGTTTTACCGTAAGACATATCTATTTTGAAGAAGAAGAAATCATTCTCTGCTCATCAAATATTTGTACCTGCAGAGTTTATTAGAGATATTTAAGTTGAATTTTATGTAGAGCACAAGAAAGTTAATTGGCATTTACTTATTCCACAAATAGTTACTGAAAGCCCGCTGTATGCTTAAACACTATTTCAGATCCTATTGTAGAAAACAATTCCAAAACTCCTGCCTTCACCATTATGTGGAAATAAAATAAATAATATGAATGAGATAATTACACAGTATATTAGAAAATAATATGGAGGAAAAAGAAGCATAGATCGAGGAAGGAATGTTAGAATGGGAGATAATGATTTTAAATAGAGTAATAGGAAAGCTTCACAGAGAAAGTGACTTTTAGGCAATGTCTTAAAATGAGAGAACAAACTCTATGGACTATCTGAAGAAATCGCATTCTAGGCAGAACAGTCAATTATAGAAATTAGAGACAGAAGAAAGCTTAACACATTAGAGAAACAGCAAGCAGGCCTGCGTGGCTATAGCAATGAAAACAATGGGGACAGTAGTAGGACATGATGGCAGAGATACCAGGGTGATGGCAGATTATTTAGGGTCTTGCAGGGGATTATAAATACTTGGGCTTTCACTATAGGAAAGGGTCAGTGGAGGGGTTGAGCAGAGAATAAAATTATCTGGCTTAAGGTATTTTTATGTGTTATTTAAATCTTATACCTAAAAATATACATATTATAATTATGCATCTCATTGAATTATTAAAAGTGTACATAACCATTTAACCACCACCTGGGTGGAAGAAATACGACATTATTGAGTATCTCAGAAGCCTCTTTGTGAGCCTTCTAGTGAATGCTTCTGTCTCCAAAGTAATTACTATCCTTCTAACACTATCAATTTACCTGTTCTTGGAATGTACATAAAGGAAATCATACATCATATGTTTTATGCCTGGAATTTTTTATTCATAATTATATTTGTGAATATTTAGCTGTGGCTTTTCATATGATTGTAATTCATTTATTTTCATTGCTGTATAATATTCCTTGGAATGCATATAGTACAGGTATCCACCCTATTGTTACTGGGATATTTGAATTGTTTCCAGTTTTCAGCTATTAGGAATAATGCTGCTGTGAGTAGTAGCATGTATATCTTTTGGTGTATAGTTGCAAAAATTTATGCTTTATAAATATGAGTTACTGGATCCTAAGGAATGCATACATGTTCACCTTTAGCAGGTAATATCAAAGAATATTTGAAAATATTACCCAAATGTACACTGTCAGAAGTCATATATGGCAATTCCCAATATTCTATCTTTTGCCAGATCTTGGTTGTGTCACGTCTTTAAAGAATTTTTTTGGTGGGATATATAGTAGTGTCTTATTGCAGTTTTAAATTACATTGCTTTCATAAATAGCGTGGTTGAACACATTTTTCTGTTTTCATGGGCTATTTAGATATACGCTTTTAAAATGACTTTACAAGAGACTTACACAGTTTTCCACTCTGAATTTGTTATTGCTTTAAAGATTTAAAAATGTATTTTGAACGTAAGTCTTTGTCAATTATATATATTGCAAAATTTTTCTACCATCCATGTGGCTTGTCTTCCATAATCATATATTTTTTTAAATGAATAGATATTGTTAATATTTTTAAAAATACAATTTCACATTTATAGTACAAACTAATTTCTGACATGGTATATATTCCTTTCTGCAATCCTTTTATTTAATTATTATTATACTTTAAGTTCTGGGGTACATGTGCAGGTCGGACAGGATTATCCAAATATTGAATCAAGTTTTTTTATAACTAATTCTTTATATTATTTCAAAGTAATAAAAATATTCTACTTTATTTTCTAGAAGCCTTTTTATTAAACAAAATTTAATATAATATCCAAGAGTAGCATTGTTATTTAAATATTTATTTATTTTAGAATTGACCGATAACATTCTATGGTTTTATTGGGTCAATATAATGTTTTTAAGTACATATAAATGTGGAATTGTTAAATCTAACTTGTTAATCTAATAATTAACAAATTTATTACCTCACAGTTATTTCTGTGATGTGAACACGTAAAATCCACTTTCTTCACATTTTTCAAGAATACAATGGATCATCATTAAGTATAGTCACCTTGCTGTTGAAATGTATTTATATCATTAATTTTATTTATGTATCCTTTGATTAATATCTCCCCTTAACCCCCACCTACTAACCGCTCTAACCTCTTATAAACACCATGCTACTCTTTAATTCTATGAGAAAAACTTTTTAGATTACACATATGACTGAGATCATGCAGTATTTGTCTCTCTGCTCCTGGTTTATTTCATGTAACATAATGTACTACAGGTTCATCCATGTCACAGACGGCAGGATTTCGTTCTTTTTATGGCTGAATGGTATTTTGTTGTGTATATATATCACATTTTCTTTATTCATCCATTGATGGACACTTAGGTTGCTTCCATATTTTGATGATTGTGAATAATGAAGGGGTTGCAGATATCTACAATAAACATGGGACTGTAGATATCTCTTTGATATATTGACTCAATTCTTTTAAATGTGTAACCAATGGTGAGATTGCTGGATTGTATCCTATATATATTTTTAATTTTTTGAGGAAACTCCATATTGCTTTTCATAATGACTGTACTAATTTACATTACCACCAACAGTGTATAAATGTTCCCTTTTCTCTGCATTCTCACCAACCATTGCCGTCTTTTGTCGGTTTGATCATGAACATTCTGACTGGACTGAGATGCTATCTCATTGTGATTTTGATTTGCATTTATCTGATGAATGATGCTGAATATTTTTTCATATGCTTTTTGGTCATTTGCAGCTTATATTTTAAGAAATATCTAGTCAGGTTTTTTTTGCCCACTTTTAAATTGAAGTAATTGGTGGTGGTGGTGGTTTTTGCTATTGAGTTCATTATATATTTTGAATATTAATCCTTTATAAGATGTATAGCTTGCAAATATTTTCCCCTATTCTGTAGGTCATTTT